GAATCGTGACTTCGGGTTTTTATTTTAAGCCGAGTATAGGAATTCACGTAGTGATATCAATGAACTTTGGAGACTTTTAATCATTCAACAGACCATTACAGCTGTTTGGTTTTACTAGAAAATGTAAAACCGAACAAGCTCCCTTCATTTTGTTATATCAATAATTTAGTTTGAAAAACAAACATCTCACTACGTCTAAGCTTTTTTCATATCTGAAAGAGTCAAACATTCATTTAACGGTGTGTTTACGTACATTTTCCCTTTATTCAATACATCAGCTCTATCCGTACATGTTTCATAATAAAGATTCATTCGGTACAAAAGAATATAAACCGTTTTACTCCCCGTTTCATAAAACCAGGCTTACAAGACAGTACGGAACGCCTTTGACGTGAACGCGGAATCCTTCGTGAATTCATAGTATTTACTATATAGTATAGTATTCTTTACACGAACGACGATGAGTTCCCCCGAGGAAATATGATCATGGAAACTAAAGTGAAGCCATTGTTCGGAAACGTTATTAGAAAAGTAGACATTACTCGTGGAAACACAGAATACATTGAATACAAAGCTGCCTAAAAGTAGAACAAGAAAGTTTGTAAGGAAAACGGGGCGACGAAAGAAATTCGTGAACGAAACCTTTTCAGCTTTTTTTTTTTGGCAAAGGAACCGACCCGAGGTGTCTTCTTGTTTTATTAGTTTCTAGAGGGCACGTAAAAGAGTTGTTTCCTACAAAAAATAATATTTATGAGAGTTTCGACATGTATGAAAAGTTAAGATATCAGTCAAGGATAGGCTTTTTACGTATATTATTTATTAATAACTTTAAATAATAAGCATATTACCTTCCTTCGAAATGTTTATTTATTTTTATTGCTTAGATGGGTGGACGAACTCACAGTGCACCTGGTGTTAAGTGGTTACTGGAGCGCATAGACACATCTACAACGCAAATGCCGCCACCCACCCTGAGACATGAGTTCTAAGGTCTCAGTATAGTAACAACGGCTGTCCCACCCTTCAAACCGAAACGCATTACTGCTACACAGCAGAAATAAGCGGGGTGGTGGTACCTACCCAGTGCGGATTTACGCGAGGTCATTCCACCAATAAAAAACAATTGAAACACAAACTATTATAATAAACATAAAAATTTAATATGTTTTTACAGTCATTTTTTATTCATTACCTTTTCGCTTACTGTTCATTACTATCATTGAAAAGTACTTTGTTAACAAGACACGTTACAGTCGATCTGACATTACACCGCTTTTCAAGCGTAGCAGCCCGTAATTGTGTACATTATAATGCAAATTGTTGTTTACTGCATCCATTAGTGTGTGTGTAGAGTACTCGACTCGATTACGTCCTCTGTCCGCAGTGCGACAGTACCTTCAAGTGTACTAGAAATCGCTGTCAGCTGATCGTTGAGGTTGAAACATTGTTTCGACATATCAAACTACGTATCCGTGCCGCTCCTTAGAGATGGATAGCATTGTTTTAAGGTTTCCTGAGTCATGTTTGCAAAACGTAAAGAATGTTCACTGTCTGAATGTTGTCTGGACCCAAACTGGGATTCTATGTGTAATATGGAAACTATGGGATATGATTATACCTGTGGGGGGCTTAAAAGACGAAGGGAAGATCTTCCACCGAGCGGGTGATATTGCTCGGTAGACTGACGGTCGGACTGTTTTCATTCGGAACTTGTATACATGCGAGCTTATCTTGAAAATGTCGTAAGCGAGATTCAAGCATCTGTCAAATATGTGTTTCCATTAACACCGAGACAGAGAGCAAACAAATCTATTCGTCACAAGTATGTATTCCCAATATGGTATGAAACCTTGAACCGATCAGCACCCAGGGACACTAACACCGCCACCGAGTCACTCGGCTAAATGTTAGCTTTCTCGTTTACCAATGTCGACTGCTGTAAAAAAATCAACAGTGGCATAGTTCTATGCATTTATGGATAAAAAGCTTTCACTATACGTGTCGGTAACATTTTGAAAGAAGAAATTTGACATTTATTGCATCGGACGTGAAACATCCTTCGTTTTTTTTATGGCCATCGTAAGCAGACGAGCATACGTTCTACCTGATCCTATCGATATATATACCTATTGAAAAAATGAGTGTTTGTAATATCACTACATAGTGTAAAACAAAGTCGCTTTCTCTGTCCCTACATCCCTATGTATGCTTAAATCTTTAAAACTAAGCAACGGATTTTGATGCCGTTTTTTAATAAATAGAGTGATTGAAGAGGAAGGTTTATATGTAGGTATAATAACATCCATTAAATAGTGGAGAAATCAATAATAAATTACAGTTTCCGAAGCGAAGCGAGGGCGGGTCGCTAGTATTTATATAAAAAAATATGTTATGATGTTCTTTCGAATTGTATCCGTAAGTTTTAATCTTCTGAAGAGATGAAAACTAAATTAACTAATATACGATTAATATTTCTTAGGCTCACTTCTATTGTTTGTACTTTAAAATCTCGTATAAAGTATTCCTCGTTCGTTCAATAACAATGTTATAGTTTATGATGATAAACAAACCAATAAAGGAAGCTAATGATCCTATTGTTATATCCGCAGTGTATCGAGCACAAATTAATTATTATTACATTCCTAAGATATCACGGAAAACAATTAATAAGTCACGAACGGTTTTAATTACAAAACACAACAGTTATAATCAAAATAGTTTTGTCTTTTACACGTGCTTCCTACAAAATTTTAATAGCTGGCTTAATTTAAATTTGATTGTAATAAAGCGATATATTTGAATTTATTTATGTATTAGACGAGCTCACACCGCACTTAGCGTTAAATAGTTGTTGTCGAAATTTTCATTAAATTTGTAACAGGTTTACGTTTTCGCTATTTAAACCGAGCTTAGTGCGAGTTTTTAACGTTCTCGATGGCGTAAAAGTTAACTTAAACTAGATGATAACGCCATCTTGTTGTGTCTTTAAAGCGGTTAGTTGCCCTCAATTAAGAAAAATAGTATTGTTCGCCAATAGATGTCGGGAAGGGTTGATTATCGAAAACACGAATAAAACAAAATTTTCTGAAAGGAAATCGTAGCTAGATCGATTTATCGCCCCCGAAATCCCCTGTATACTAAATTTTATGAAAATCGTTGAAGCCGTTTCCGAGATTCAGATTATACATATATATTAATATACAAAAATTGCTCGTTTAAAGGTATAAGATATGATTTGTATTGAGTTAGAATGTTCGCCTTCGTTTGCCGCTAGAGACGCTGTTCCAGTTGCATACAAATTTGAGTTAACTTTTACGCTATCGAGAACGTTAAAAAACTCGCACTAAGCACAATGAACGGTGCATCTATTTCTCAGCAGAAAACTTAGCATGATGGTATATATTCGTGCGGACTCATAATACGCGCTAGCAGCAATAACGTCGGTTTGAGGGGCGAGAAAGCAGTTACACAATGAGTCTTCAACCCTATTTCATGTTACGGTGTCTCATTATAACGTGAATGTGGTCTACGGCATTGACTTAATGTCGAGTGGGAAATAAGCCCATCCAGTCATCTATAATCAATAAAATATCAACATACCGTACCACTGTTTGAACAAAATATGTATTTTCTTCTAGACATGTAACATTTTCGAGGGTGCTCGCCATTACGTTTGGTTGTGGTTTTTTTTTTTCAAATATTCAAATAGAATCGAATTTAACTTTTGGCACGTGTTTCACAGATTCACAGATGTGCCTATAGAAACATAGTATTAAACTAAATCCGTTGCACCACATGTCCGAAAATGTGTAAAGAATACAGAAAATCTTTGATTTACGAGCTACAACAAAAACCAAAGATAGTATCAGGCCGCTCAGAATATCAATGTAATGTAACAGTGCGAGCTTGTCTTGGCCGTTGTATTATTTCTTATTTATTAGATTGTTTATTTTTTAAAACAAAACCAAGTATTAGGAACATATAAAAGTTTATATATGCACGACATCGTACAGTGCAAGTATTATTAATTAAATTTACGTATAATGCGGCACATACACGACCCTAAAATCAGTTGAGATATTGGGACAGTGGTGGGGAGGACCCTAAATCGTACCCTAAATCACCTCGTGTATAGGAAAATCGTAACCCGATTTTTAATGTTTACCCTAAACTCTAAAATCGCTTCGGGCAAGCTTACGATTTAAGGACGATTATCCCCACCACTGCTGTCCCGATATCTCCACTGATTTTAGGGTCGTGTGTAAGCCGCATAAGTATAACCTCATAGACCAATTTAATTAAAAGTATTAAAACCACTTGAAAATTTGATAAGATTCAAATATAGAGAGTTAAAAGCCAATTCTCGACAACAAATAGAAACCATTAAATATTAAAAGGGAAGTAAAACCGAAACAATTATGTACAAAAGTTTCAAGTTCCGTGAAAGGCTTTGATTATTCGACTTTCAAGCCGTCGTGTCAAAGGCGTTGGTTCGGTGCGTATTCCGAGACACAATTCCACATTTCGAGAAGAATGACTTCGAGCTACGAATAAATTCACGGACAAAGCATATTTTTTTGATTCTTGTCAAAATGCGTTAACATATTGACACAGCTGCGTGCTTGGTGCGAGTTTTTTAAAGTTCTCGATAGCGTAAAAGTTAACTCGAATTTGTATGGATTTGAAACGTTTGCCTACGTTTCCCCCTAGGGGCGCTGTTCCAACTGCATACAAATTTGACTTAACTTTTACGCTATCGAGAACGTTAAAAAACTCTCACTAAGCACACTGACATAGGCGCTTAACGCCGGCTATGGGCAAGCACAGTACAACCTAAACGTCGCTACACGACTTGCTCTATAAAGACAATTTTCAATGAACACACCCGTTCACATGCACCGACATAAATGCTCTTAAAACATTCTCAGCACACTAAAAGCTAGTATTACAATAGAACTCCGAAAGCTATACGCAATTAAGTCGTAAAGGAAATGACCTACCGTAATGGGAGTCCTTATCATTAGGTATATTTCCGTTGGGCTCCAGTCGATCGAGACACTCTTCAGAGTATCCATTGTAAGAGAGCTTCCCCCGGGCCCCGCCGTTCTGCTGTCGCCCTCGACATTCGCCGTTGTCGCCGTCCGACTCGTCTTTCGTTGCTGAAACGTGAAAACCGGCATTACTTTCAGGCTAATAGACAATTGTACTTTATAATGTCCGTCTGGTGTAGTGGTAAGTGACATGGTCACTACACTAGGGGGTCGCGGGTTCGAATCCCGCCAAGGGAAGATATTTGTATGATCAATATAAATGTCTTTTCCAGGGTTATGGATGTATATTAAATATATGTATGTGTATAATAAAAATCTTACATTTATTTCCGATATCTGGTACCTGTAACACAAGTTCTTTACGAACTTATTACACGGCACCAGTTAACGTGGCGTGATTGTTAGTAAAATATTTATATTTATTTATTTATTTGCAATGATCACTCGAACGAGTTGTATCAATACAAACTTTTCGTTAGCCGACTTAACCTAATAGGTGTATTGGCTCTAATCACTACATAGTATAAAACAAAGTCGCTTTCTCTGTCCCTATATCCCTATGTATGCTTAAATCTTTAAAACTACGCAACGGATTTTGATGCGGTTTTTTTTAATAGATAGAGTGATTGAAGAGGAATGTTTATATGTATAATAACCTCCATTAAATAGTGGAGAAATCAATAATAAATTACAGTTTCCGAAGCGAAACGTGTTAATTAATAAAATAAATTTATCTGGTCATATGCGTAATGAGTTCTGTGGTCATGACGAACGCTTTCATTTTAAGTCCGAAATGGATAAGTTGATTGATCGTAAATGTAGGCACATCTATATAGTTACTCATAAGCCTTATAACATTTACGAAAATTAACTAACTTAATTAAAACGATTGTTTTTTTACTTTGTAGTTTGTAGTTTTACTTTGAAGCTATTTCAGAATTTACCACACCATAGTTGAAGAGTTTGACTTTATAATCTCGTAACACAGACTATCTAGATTCTAGATGGTCATGTGTGCTGGATTTTGCTATCATTACTTAGTTCCAGAGGAAACATTAAAATTATTATTAGTATTGTCATTCTGTGAACAAAATTCTGAGAAACGATATATCCAATCCGGAAGTCCTGTATATCTTAGAATTTTTGACTTGTTAAAACGCATGACAACAGTTAAGAGTTAACGAACAATCCGGTTTTAGTTGAACTTAATTTTATAGAAGCCCCTTAGAACAGCACAGCACAGACTACAAAAGTCGTTGTATTTTCGACAATAGTCCTTACCCTAATAAGTATGTCAGCTATTAAATGCAGAACATCGTAATGAGGGTAGTTAACTTTTGAAATTTCTAGTGGGAAACTTAATGAGGATTATAGCGGCAGACCCAACATTTCAATTCAATGTGGATTCATTAGTACAATATGAAGCGATGATAAAAAGGAAGTCTGTGCCAAATAGACTTGACCTGAAAAGATAATTTACAATTTTTGAACTCCAAACTTTCAGCTTTACGAAAATTTCTTTTTTAAGCGCAAAATTAACGCTGTTTATAAAACAAGAGTTTCGAATAGTACTGGTATTACTCAAATGAAGTTTATGACTTATGAGAGAAATTGCCCATTAAATGTTGTCAACTGCAAGTATAATTTATAATTATAACTTCATAGTCACGAATTTAAAATGTGATATAAAAAAACAATTTTACAAATTCATTTTTATAAATCAATCTGCTCACAGTTTTACCTGTGTTTTATTTAGGTAGATGATCGTAATGTGTACATATCGAGGGATGAAAGGCTTTTTGATTTAAGCGAAATTTCGCTTAATACGCGACATTAATCTTTGTAATTAAAGGTCCGTTTCATTTGGTAATAGTATCAACAATCCGATGTTTTTAATTGAACCTCAATTAAGTAATGGAGTATCTATATATTAATACGAGAAGCAAAAACTTTGTATCCCTTTTTACGAAAATTGCGCGGACGGAGGAGTATGAAATTTTCCACACTTATAGAGTATATAGAGAAGAAGTGCGCAATGCTAATATTTTTTTAAAAGAATGCATATAAGATACATTAAATCAATAAAGAAAACATTACACACACTATATACCATGTATTTGACGCACACACGCATGCATACTATTTATTGTCAAACTTTTGTTCTTGATGTCTGTTGTCAAATTGAGATTAAATATTGTTTGTCTTTGTTAATATTTTTTATAGTGTAGTCTTGGCGAAATTTATGATTATAAAAGTATAAAATACAATCATAATAGTGTACAAACTTACAATTCCAATTAATTATAGCCGAATTTCGACTACTGCGGGACCTCTACTCCATTGAAATGGCTGAAGCAGTTATTTGTTATGATATTTGACCAAACTTTGTACTCTCCTGTAAAGTTACAAATATATGTGACTCTCCAGTAAAGCTGCAAATATATCGCTTAAACCAAATAGCCTTTTCCTTTCACCCGTCCATATCAAAAATATGAGTTCAACTGCTCTTGTCTAGTATTTAGTTGTGAAAAAGAAATTATTTTTATTGATTGATATACTACTCTGTCAATAAAGTACCGGACAAAGATTAATAATAAACAAAATGTTAGTCATTCAAACATATTAAAATTTATTTTATCACCTTACCAAAGTAAGGTCCTTCAAAAACAACACTATTACGCCAACGAATAATCCACTCATCAAAACATTTCTTAAACGCTTTTTTCGAATTCGAGTTCAGTTCTCGCTGCGAATTCTCTTTTACGTCTTTTACCGAATGAAAACGGGTGTCACGAAATAATAATTTGAGTTTAGGAAAAAGATAAAAGTCGGCTTGAGACATATCTGGCCAATAAGGAAGGTGGTTTCTCGATGGTATTGGTTGAGTTTTTGGGGAAAAAATCGTTCACAATGATGGCTTTGTTCAAAGGCGCAAAATCCAAAAGTTTTATTTTCACAAATCTAGCCTTTTTCGTCAAATTTGCTCTCTTAAACGTCGCATAAGGTTCAAATAATATTCTTAATTTTCCATTTGACGGAAGGAATCCCGAGTGCGCAACACCGCGATAGACAAAAAACAGTCAACATAGCTTTAGCTTTTGATCGAATTTGTCGTGGTTTTTTCGGTTTCAGTTCAGTTCGAAGGTGACACTCCGAAACTTGTTAACTAGTTTGCACGTCAAACTTGTAAACTCACACCTCGTCACCAGTAACAATGCATATCATTAATGTTGAGTCGGAATTGACTCGTTTACGATTGAGTTTTTGTGTTTCATACATAATTTTTTTTATTTTTTTTTTATTGCTTAGATGGATAGACGAGCTCACAGCCCACCTGGTGTTAAGTGGTTACTGAAGCCCATAGACATCTACAACGTAAACGCGCCACCCACCTTGAGACACAAATTCTAAGGTCTCAGTATAGTTACAACGGCTACCCCACCCTTCAAACCGATACGCATAACTACTTCACGGCAGAAATAAGCAGGTGGTGGTCCCTACCCGTGCGGACTCACAAGAGGTCCTACCACCAGTAATTACGCACATTATAATTTTTGCGGGTTTCATTTTTATTACACGATGTTATTCCTTCACCGTGGAAGTCAATCGTGAACATTTGCTGCGTACGTATTTCATTAGAAAAATTGGTACCGGCCTGGGATTCGAACACCGGTGCATCGCTCAACACGAATGCACCGGACGTCTTATCCTTTAGGCCACGACGACTTATAAGTGTGCTCATAGCTCGTGATTATTTAAAATGGTACGGATCAATTCGTGAGACATAGAGAGTTCTGTGGCTATCTCTCTCAAACTGTAATGAGGTTTTTGTTACAATTTCTTTAACTTTTGTGATGTTAACTTTAGTTACAGACGTTGACGGCCTGCCAGAGCGAGGCATATTAAATCGTCCCTTTTATCTCGCCCGTTTTTGAACGCTTTGTATCATTTATGAGCACATATTTTTATAAAGTCGATTCATTGTAAGCCTTCTGTAACATTTTTGTGATTTCGAACACGACATTCCATTGGTGATGCGAAGTTTAAGACGAACTCTTTGTTCGAGGTGTTTTTGTTCGTTATGAAATTCGCAGTACACACAAGATATCATATAACTAATAAGCAGCACTGTATTTAATCTAAATAAACAAATGCAACTCAAACTCCGCGTCAAAATTGACAACAGTTGGGCCAATCTAAAAACAACAAAGTAAAAAATTAGTTTCCATTTCATTCCATTTCAGGTACTTTTTTGACGAAATGTATGTTGTAGCAATATAAATATTATATAAGTATGTAGATACAGTGGTAAAATACAAGTGCAAGTTAAATTTTAAATCTAAAAATATCAACAAAAACGATTCAATAGCTTTTCTGTAGCGCTAGAAGAAGCAAATAAATAAAATCAGATATTTTTTTCAATGTTCAAACAGTCACAATCCTATTATAATTTTAGAGAGAGCTTTTATACTTTGAGTATTAGTTTAACGTGGAGTTTTTGAATATACATAAATCAGCTCGGTTTCTTAACTGCCGTCTTAATAATTTGTCAAGTAATTTACATTCGAGAGTGTTTGTGAGCCGCCCGCGCTTCTAAAGAGCCCAATGAGAGTAAAACATTTGAAACAGCTACAGCCGCTCGGGGAGACCGTAACTTTAATTAGTTGCAACCCCTCAACGAGCTCTTGTTGACGTTCAGGCCAATACGACCTGTTTATACAGATTTAATTTTCCTTTCAATAAACTAAATTTATTTGTATGGGCTTGTTTATTTCATCGCTGTGAAAGTGAGAGAGAATACGCATGTGACTAGGAGATGTATGGAAATGGTAGTGCAAGGTAGAAGGGGAAGAGGTTGACCGAAGAAGACATGTATGGAGTGTGTGAATGACGATATGAGAGTGAGAAGAGTGAATGTTGAGATGACAGCTGATAGAAGAAAATGGAAGAGAAAAATTAGCTGTGCGACCTCAGCTAGTGGGATAAGGTGGAGAAAAAGAAGAAGAGGCTTATTTATTTCAATTTCAATAAGCCTCGTACAGAGAATCGAAAAACATTGTAAATAAGAATTTTAAAATATTTACGAGTAAATGACTGAAACACGTCAC